ACGATACCTACGTCACCGACGCTCATCCTCATCGGATAGGACTCTTTTTCAGATAAATGTTTTTTTTTTTTTTCTTAAATACATTATTGATGGATTGTTCTGCATCATTTTTTCCCATTTAGGTACGCTTGCCGCCCTATGTATAGGTATTCTAAGTTGAAATATAAAATTGAAAGTGAAACGAAATGACAATAATTTTTTTAATGCCGGCTGGTAGTATAGGTGCCTACATAATAATCGTTCTGCATTTTTCTCATCTGCGTACTATTTATTAGGTACCTATATAGGGATTGTAAAAAAAAAAAACAAAGATTCAAATATAAACGAATGTCTTTTCGAATTGAATTTGTGGTTCTGAAAAGAACCGTTTTTTTCTCGATGTAGGATGCTTTTCGGCGGCGATTTAACCTCCGAATCCGTAAAGAGTACGTCCTTGTCGTTTCAAAGCGTAGACGACGTCCATAGCTGTAACTGTTTTCCTTTTGGCGTGTTCGGTGTAAGTGACTGCGTCTCGGATTACGTTTTCCAAAAACACCTTCAGCACACCACGGGTCTCTTCGTAGATCAAACCTGATATACGCTTGACACCGCCACGTCTCGCCAACCGTCTGATGGCTGGTTTGGTGATGCCTTGGATGTTGTCTCGGAGAACTTTACGATGCCGCTTGGCCGTTTATAGTTAGAAACAATCATATTTTTTTTATTCCCGGCTCTTGAAAATTTTACAAAGTTAAAAATATTTCTATTCTCGGCTCTTGGAGATTTTACTAAATTAATAAAGTTTTTATTCTCGGCTCTTGGATATTTCACTAAACTAATAATGTTTTTATTCCAGGCTCTCAAAAAAATCACTGAATCGTTCAATTAGTAGTAGCAACGGGCTGTGCGTACAATGGACAGGGACGTAATCAATGCGAGCTTATGACTCACGCTTACTGGGAATTCCTCGTTCATGGGGAACAATTGCAAGCTCCAATCCTTAGCCCGAAGGAAGTTCAGCGGGTTACCCGGGCCACTCGGCCTGGGAGGACACGCTGACTCCTTCAGTGTAACGCGCGTGCGGCCCAGAACATCTAAGGGCATCACAGACCTGTTATTCCTCAATCTCGTGCGGCTAGAAGCCGCCTGTTCCTCTTAGAAGAATTGTTTGTACGCCGACAGTAAAAACCGCGCACGTCAAGGAGCGAACCCCAAAACGGCGGGCCTTTAGGATGTCGAATACGCCTAGTTAGCAGGCTAGAGTCTCGTTCGTTATCGGAATTAACCAGACAAATCGCTCCACCAACTAAGAACGGCGATGCACCACCACCCACCGAATCAAGAAAGAGCTCTCAATCTGTCAATTTTTCCGGTGTCCGGGCCTGGTGAGGATTCCCGTGTTGAGTCATAATTTTTTTATTCTCGGCTCTTGAATTTGTAACATTATGTTTCTATTCTCGGCTCTTGAAAATTTTACTAAATTAATAATGTTTCTATTCTCGGCTCTTGGAAATTTTACTAAACTAATAATGTATCTATTCCCGGCTCTTGAAATTGTATCGTTATGTTTTTATTCTCGGCTCTTGAAAATTTAACTAATTTAATAATGTCTCTATTCTCGGCTCTTGTAGATTTTGATAAAGTGATAATGTTTTTATTCTCGGCTCTTGGAAATTTTACTAAATTAATAATGTTTTTATTCTCGGCTCTTGGAAATTTTACTAAATTAATAATGTTTCTATTCCCGGCTCTTGAATTTATGACATTATATTTTTATTCCAGGCTCTCGAACATTTCACTAAATCATTCAATTAGTAGTAGCAACGGGCTGTGTGTACAAAGGACAGGAACGTAATCAACACGAGCTTGACTCACGCTTCATGGAGAACAATTGCAAGTCCGAATCCCTAGCACTAAGAAGATTCTACAAGTTACTCGGGCCACTCGGCCAAGGAGGACACGCTACTTCCTGCCGATACGTCGTTCGTATAGTCGTCGTCGTACAGGAGTGCGAACACGAGTGTACAAGGCGTCGTCTCCTCTTCTAGTCTTCTTCCGTTTAAGAGAAAAGAAAAAAAAAAACAAACGCACACAAATGCTCACCACACGCTCTAACACGAGACACGTACAACATAAATCGGACGGGACTCTGCAGCAAAAACGACCGCACGATGCGATCGTTATTTTGTTACATAAAACGTCCGCCGATATTAACGATTTCGAACATGCCCTCGACCCTTCGCTAGATTGAAAGCGACACGGAATCTTGAAAAGATAGCGTTACGTTTTGATTTTATTCTCGCTCGGAACGGAAAGAGTTATCGCAAAAAGTATCGCGCAGTTATTTTTAATAATAATTGACGTTGCTTCGAGTTTGGCTGCATATGGACCGGAACTTACTCAGTGAGTATACTCACCGAATCCGCAGCCTCGCTGTGAGTGGTCGCAGAATCGGTCGATTTTTTTTATTCGTAGAGAAAAAAATAAAACGTCCGAAACTACTGAAATCAACGGGAGGCGTCGCATCTTAAACAAACAACATTTAATATACATTATATGTGTAAGCAAAACGCACCGCATCACTCCCGTCGTTGCGGAGAGAAACACGACTGGCGCTCTCTCCACAATTAAGCCCGATGTATCGCCGACCGGCTATCCCCACTCACTCTCTTGGAAAAATTTTCGATGAATTACGCAACCGACGGGAAGATATTGTTGCGTTGTGATCGATAATGGTCGGCATGATATTCGAAATTTGAGAAAAAAAAAATTCACGATCCGAATGATTGATTTGGAAACGGTAAATACCTACCTACAAGTTGTGGCACGTATAGTTTTTCGGACGAAAGTAGAAAATGTAAAGGTACGTCGAACGCATATCGGCAAACGTCTATGTAAAGTCGCGAATCGTTGTTGGTATATAGGTAGATTAGGGTTTCGGGAAAACTCGAAAAGTTCGAATAGAATCGAATGTACAAAATGTGAGGGTACGTCGTTAGGCATCGGTAAAAGCCTGTGAAGTCGTGACGGTTCATAATAGATATATATTAGTAACAACGCGAATCCCCTCATATTTTTCTTGTAGCGTAGCATTTTACTAAGTTAATAATGTTTCTATTCTCGGCTCTTGGAGATTTTACTAAATTAATAAAGTTTTTATTCTCGGCTCTTGGAGATTTTACTAAATTGATATTGTTTTTATTCCCAGCTCTGGAATTTCCTTTATCCCAAAAAAAAATTATTCAAATTTAATCATAATGTTTCTATTCTCGACTTTTAAATTTATTCTAATTTGAAAATGTTATTTTTAAATTTAATAGACTTCTGTATTTTTTATAAAATATCAATTTACCCCGGTCCTGTGAGCTCGCCTGGCCAGGAAAACAAATGTTTCACACTAATACCTATTTGAAAATGAGTAAATTACTGCGGGACTCGCTTCGCTCGTCCCGCAGAATTTAACTTACAGGTTTTCGTATTTTCTATGAAATACCGATTTACCCCCACCCTGTGGGCTCGCTTGACTAAAACAACGTGAATACTTCACACTGGAACATATCTGCAAATTAGTAAATTGCTGCGAAGCTCGTCCCGCAGAATTTCACATTTTTGTATTTTTTATAAAATACCCCGGCCCTGCGGGCTCGCATGGCTACCTACCTGCAAATTAGTAAATTGCTGCGGGACTCGCTTCGCTCGTCCCGCAGAGTGTCACTTAAAAGCTTTCGTATTTTGTATGAAATTCCAATTTACCCCGGCCCTTCGGGCTCGCCTGGCCAAAACAACATGAATGCTTCACACCATGACTGCGAAGAAAATTCACCTGTTGATTTTTGTTTTAGCCACAATAAATTCATTAAATAGGTAAGTACTTAGGTACATAAGAATAAATAAATTTCTCCTTTTAAAATTCACTCGTTTTCAGGTAGCATCATCCTATTTATAGAAGCTGAAAAAGGTAGAAAATTGAATTGGGAAAAAAAAAAACAGCAAAAAACGATTTTCTTTTTATATAATTTGTGGTTCTGAAAAGAACCGATTTTTAATAACACCTGCACAAACGTGCATCGCCAACTGAAATTTGCTTCTTCTTCTTAAATAAGCTGCTTTTTTACTTCTGCTGAGGCCTCGGGTTTCTTGATTAGGTTGGTCCAGTTGTATTAAGACTTTTCGACTTTTAACGAAGTTTTACCTGTTGATTTTTATTCAACAAAAATGAAGAAAAAAAAAAAAAAAACGATGAGATTAGTTACGAAATACACAACATTTTGAGTGTATTTCGTATGCAGGATGGGCCAACGCGCAGGCTCTCATCTTCCAACCCTAAGTTAGTCTAAGATTGACCAAATCGAAACAACGCGATAAATGAAAAAGTATACCTAATATACCTAAGCAAAAAACGCAATTTTCGGTCAATTTTAAATTAACTTGTATGTCACAATTCGGGTAGTCAAAATCAGGAAGTTTCACAAATTCGAGTTGGGTCTCATTTAAGTGTTTGGGACAAAATCGAGCTTGTTACAAAATAGGGTAAAGTCACATTTCAGGCTCACGCTGAAATTTTTTGATATTTTTTTTTTAAATTTTTTGTTTTTATATTTTTTTTTTGTTTTTTTTATAATTTTTTTAATTTTTTTGGGTCAGCATTATTTATAAACACATTTAGCTATTAACTAAAACGATATTAGCATGCTAATATCGTTTTAGTGAAAGCAAAATGGTCTATTAATAAGACTGTTTTTTTATATTTTTTTTTTATACACATAGTACACGCATATATATATATATTATATCAATATTGGGTATTTGCCATATTGTCATATTATCAGAAATTGTTATTATCGAGTATAATTGTCACATTCGGGAAAAGTCAAAATCATGAACGTGTCAAAAAAAGTTATTTGTCAAATTCGATAAATTGCCTTATTTCGATACCCTTTTTTATATTAATACCTTATAAACTGAACATGGACACTGAAACCAAAAGACCTGAAACACAAAACTAACAGCAGTATCAAATTCTAATAATTTACACCATCATCGTCGATATTGTTTGCTAAGTCGTTGACGAACTCTGTATACACGATGTTACGTGTGTAAACGGGATTGTTTTTACGGCCATCTTTAAACAGTCTTCCCTGTTTTGGCCCGTCTACAACGAGCACTTTGACATCGTCACGTTTTCTAGCTCTAGAAAACGCAACGTACAACTGTCCGTGTGAAAAACACGGGACCGGCAAATACAATCCGACCCTGTCAAGCGTTTGACCCTGAGCCTTATTGATAGTGATGGCGTGTGCCAGACGAAGGGGAAATTGTTTCCTGTAAAACAATCCCATTAGCTCGGTGTTACTTTCTCCTTCGACAAAAAGTTTGCGAGGAATAGCTACCTTCGTCCCTGATAATTGACCAGTGGCCATGCTACAAATTACGACGTTTTCCAAAAGCTCTCTGACCACCATCCGTTGTCCATTACAAAGACCCCTTCTGACATTTAAGTTGACCATCAGCATTACGACGGAGCCTATTTTTAATGTCAAAACGTGAGGTGGCAACGACGCAATATCCAAAGCCTCTAAAATGTCAGGAGTGATCTGTTGTCGGAAAGGATGGGAATTAGAAGTCCTGATTTCAATATCTTCTTCGAACCGATTGGTAGCGAGATAAGTTCGCTCGGTTTGACGAGGATCAGGGAACTTCTGGAAAATTTTCGCGTTCATTTCTTTAACTGTGACATTTATAGGACACAAGATCGCCCGATTGGCAAGGCTGACGACTAACGACTGAAATTGTTCGTCGTCGCCGAAAGCTGCTTCGATGGCCTTAAAGACATCCCCGAAAACAAAATCAACCAGTTCCTCAGGTGAGTCGACCAATATGTCTTTATGTAGAATCGCGATTGTAGCTTGATAGTTGGCTTGCCCCTGAATTTTGCCCGCCCCCAATTGTCCAACCCACTCAGTCCAAGCTACTTCTGCGTCACTCAAGCGCATATTTCGGTGCAACGTCACCTTTTCCAAATTCGCCCACAAAATCGAAGCAACAATCGACTCCATGATGGCAGCCATCCGACCAAACGACCCCCTAACGACGGGCAACAACTGCTTAGGATCTCCACTAAGGATTACAGTTTTGCCCCCGAAACGACGAGTGGAGTTGGGACCCTGACTAAACAACCTACAAGAATTCTCAATCAAATCCAACATCCACATAGAAAGCATGAAAACCTCATCGATAACAATGAGCTTGGCAGCCCCGATTTTCGCCGCCTCCTCAGATTGAAAAGATAAATTAGAAGTTAGCACAGAAGACTCTGGATCTTGCTTTTTCCGCAACGGCAACCCAAACGTGGTGTGTGCAGTTGCCCCGTTTTTCAACAAAGTGGCCGCAATCCCCGTGAAAGCTGACGCCAGGTAACCATACTCCATAACGTCCATCTCTTCCAAGATGGCGTTAAGAAGTACAGTTTTGCCTGTGCCCCCCGACCCCATTAAAACAAAGGCCCTATTCTGGTTCCGATTCACAGAATCCATTACGTCGGCGGCAAATAACATTTGCTCGTCGTTCAAATGCTGAATCCAAATTTTGTCGCCGAGGTCGGTTTTGGACGCGTCGCTTTCAATAGTGCCGTCACTATTGTCCACGGCGTCATCTTCGTCCCCGGAGTATTCGTCGTCCGAGAAGGTCAAATCTCGGATCCATTCTTTACTGATCAAATAATTTGACATTTTCGACGAACACTCGCTCATGAACGTTTCGAGTTCTTCGAAAAGAACGCAAAACTTAGCGCAACGTAAAACCCGGGCGCGTTCTTTCACGTTGAGGATCGTTTTGGCGACCTCGACGACAACATCCGGAATCTTTTTGATGTGACGAGCCATCTTACCCGCCCACCGACGGAAAGTTTTTCGTGGATCCTTCAAAGAGAAATGCACCAGCATTAAAGAGAAGACGTCCCTTAAATGTCGGGAGCCCATGCGAGTCCATACGGACTGCATGACTTTTTCGACTTCGTTCTCGTCATCGTCCACCAGCTTTAATGCTACGCATGCCGCTTGGAAGGTAGGGTATTCGACATTTTCTACGGTTCGGGCGTCTCTGAAGGAGATTAGCCCCGGAACGTTGCACAAAATCATTCTCAGATGGGATCTTTCGGCATTCCCACGTGACGGATAAACTACAGCAAGTCTACCTATGGCATTGGTTTTTCGCGATTTCGCTACCCATTTCCCCTTAAGCCACGTGTGAGTTCCCACTACGTCAACATAGAAATTCTTTTTCGACCCTTTGGAAGATTTATTCAAAAGAAACCAACCGATTAACCTGGAATTGCCTGGCCGATTGACGATCTCTTCCTCCTGCCCCTCATAAAAAATCTCGAATTGCTCATTTTCCAAATGAACTGGAAGAGTGATGACAGAATGACTAATGTGAAAACATGTCAAGCCCAGAATTCTGTAGATGGCCTCGTGAGGGCCGATATACCTCATTTTCACGTAGGCCGCTGCCTCGTCCCAAGTGATCGTGTTTGTGGTCTCATCAAAACCGAATTCCACACACCTCAAATTGATCGAATCCAGACCCTTGTTGATATACGCATTGATATACCGACAAATTTGAATAGGATTCCCTACACAAAGTTCAAGATTAATGTGACAATTGTAGCGGACCAACAAAGTAGGATTATACGGAATAATCCAAGTGTTGTCCACCACACGATCCTGACCGCAATGATACAGCTCGGTGCCGTGCGGTCGCTTGTAGAAAACGGATCTTTGTTTATTAATTCGAGACTCGTCACCCAGTTTTTTTGGAAATTTCCACCTACACTCGTTTTTGGAAGTCCAACAACCTGGACGTTTTGTCTGCTTATGCTGCGACTGTCGTGACGATCGAGGAACGTCATCGACGTCGTCTTTTAGCTCGCCTGGATTTTCCTCCTCACCGGGCTGCTTAAGAATGTCAATATCGTCCGGATCGTCCCGAACACGATCAGCTTCGGGCAAGTCGGTCTCCAATACATTACACTTATTGTGTATCATGAATTTGGCGACCAATTCCCGCAACCGTTCGTATCCGGCGCCATCAGATTGTACGGGCCAACGGGCCCAAATCACCCTATCCAAATCCTCAGCAGAATCGGGAACATCCTGTTCCGTTAAGAACAAAAGAATGTGTGCGTGAGGGGCACCGCGCTTCTGAAACTCAATCCTGACCACATATGCCTCAATCTTCCCAAGAATTTGTCGTTGGAGCAAGTCTCGCATGAGACTGTCCAACTTTTGTTCGAAAACTCGACACAAAATGTCGGGAAAATTTGCAATGTCATCCGTTCCTTTACCGAGCCGATGGAGTTCCTCGGTAACTTCCGACCATTGCCGATTCGCAGTAAATGTAAGAAAATAGGTTGGAGGCTTACCCAATTTCCTACAAAGGGCCATGCAATCCATGTACCCGTTGAAATAGTACCTACGAGAACCCGGAATGGTAGGCGGTAATACAATGACTTTACCGACCGGTAGAGGCTGCGCCGAATCTCCAAAGCCTCTCCTTGCGGCTTCTTTTAACAAAAAGTCTCTCAGATTGGCATAGGTTTCTGCGCGCATATACCTCTGATTCCCTACTGCCCAATTTACATTATTGTACTCGATTTTTACGCCCGCATCCACAAGATACTGCAGACGTAACTTCCCTACGTGCTCAAGTACGTTCCAATAACGTACACTATCCAATCTCACCGAATTCGACAAGAGTCTCACACAATAATACTCGCGTAAGGAATTAACTTGATCTCGGTCATTTTGTTGAAATGAAGACTCTCCATGCAGATGGATAAGTGGATAAAGCATGAGGTCTAAAGTGCACCTCAAGACGTTGACCTCCCTATACGGAAGAGCCGCGCCTTCCTGCAATGGCTTCACAGCGAACTCGACGTCGTAATAACATGGCGGTCTATCGCCTAGATATACTCCGGCAACGGTTTCGTTGTGAGGATATTGCATTCCAGACTTGACAGCCACACCCTTACGTCTTTGAAATTTAAAACGACTAGCGTCCTGATCCTCTTTGTCACGAGGGTTAACACATAAAATAACCTCACGAACCTCCCTATTTTCCGCCGCAGCCTTCAATTTCTCCTCCTCGTAAATGTCCCCAGCGCATTTAAAAATACGCATGAGAACATTTTCGACTCGCAGATAATTTTCCAATGTCCTAACAATTGGAGTTTCTAACTTAGTCGAAACAGTCGACAAATTAATTCTAGCCTTAACAACCTCCTTGCTCACATCCATGAAATAAAGATAAGCCTCATTCAAATTATGTAGACCAGCTACATGCGTTGACGCCATAAACCGAACTTGCCTATCGACAACCGCTGCTTCGTCGGCAGGACGGCTGTCTGGAAGACCCAGACCAGCGAACGTCCCGCGCCGATGAACAGTTGCAAAGATGCTATTATACGCCATGATAAATTTGTGGAAATGGCTTTTCCTCATCGCAGCTCTATCCTTACAATAATATAGAGAAAGTATTCGAGGATCACGAGGTTTCCTGAACAAACTGGTTTCTGCCAAAACCCGTTTCCCTAACCCACAGCATTGTTCCGTGCTCTTCGTCTTTTTGGACAATTCGGTGGCCCAAAATTTAGCACCACAATGCTTACAAAACCAATCGTCTTTGTTCGAATTCGGAAGCTTATGTACCGGAATATCTTGAAAATCGTGGTCACCGAATTCCCACGCGTTTTGATAAAACTCTGTAATTCTATCATTCCTCATACGCCACTCTGGCTTTACCGAATCCGTAGCAGGAAGCGGCTTCCACTTTTTGATTCTTTTTTCGAACTCGACTTTTTTTAATTTTTGACTCAAACTCACAATACGCGGTTGTGGTGCATGTCGCTTCCGTGCGGGAGATTTCACAGGTGCTGTAGCGACAGGAGCTACTGCAGCAGGAGCTACTGCTACAGCAGGAGCTACTTTAGCAGGAGTTGCTACAGTAGAAACTGCTACAACAGGAGTTACTACCACAGGAGATCGTGCAGCAGCAGCACCAACAACATTAACGGGTAGAGGAATGACAATATCCTCGTATAAATCGTAGTGATTGTTACCGACGAAACGTAATACAATTGGAGTGTTATCTTGGGGACCCACATCAACCACTTCGCGGCCGTCTCTTATGACGACAACTCTCCTTTGTAAAACATTAGAAAAAGCAAGAATTTCGGCATAGGAACCCCATACAGAGACTTTCATCATTTCCCTATAATAATGGTCTACATTATCATAATCAAAAACATTATTAGCATATTCATCCCACTTATCCCTCACCTCGTTGACTAAAATTTCACGCAACTCCTCATGTGAAAAATTTCCCCCCATTCCCACAGAAAGGGCCCTAAAGAGGCAGTTGCCATCCCCTTGAATTTCAAGGTATTTACCAACTATATCTTTCTTCCAGATCGACATGTTGGCAAATATTTGAAAAAATATAAAGTGAACCCCAAGTGAACTTTCCCAATTAAAAGAAAATTATAATAAATTTAAAAGTCCCCGATGAAATGCAATATATATATATATATATATATATATATATTAATAAAACTTGGCCTACACGAAATCACTAACAATCACTAAGATAAATAGGGATTTAAAAAAAAAATTACCTATTGAATGAACTACTAAATAAATTTAGAAAAACAAAATAAGTATTTAACGTGTTAATTTTAAAAAAAAGCACTATCAAAAAAACTATTAAATTTTAAAAAAATCTATTCAAAAACTTATTAAATTTAAAACAAAAAAACAGAAATTCGAAAGTTAAATCAAAAACTTGAAAGAGTCAAGAGTATGGACAAATGTGAAAAAAAAAACAACCAAAAGCTCTAATAGAAAATTAAAAAAGGCAAAATGAAAAAAATGAATAGAAAAACACTAAATTTCAATATAGAAAGTTCAACAGAAATAAAAATATTGCAATGAAAAATAAACCTATATGAAGAATAAATAAATCGATAAAATGGAATTGAAATTTAAAACAGAAAATTAGACAATATTACGATGAAAAATAAACCTATATGAAGAACAAATAAATCGAGAGAATGGAATTGAAATTCAACACAGAAACTTAAACAAAAATCAAAATATTACGATGGAAAATAAACCTATACGAAAAACAAATAAATCTATAGAAAAGAATTGAAGTTTAACACAGACACTTGAACAAAAATCAAAATATTACAATGAAAAATAAACCTATAGAAAAACAAATAAATCGAAAGAATGGAAACGAAATTCGAAACAGAAACTTGAACAAAAATCAAAATAAATCTATAGAAAAGAATTGAAGTTTAACACAGACACTTGAACAAAAATCAAAATAATTACAATGAAAAATAAATCTATAGAAAAACAAATAAATCGAAAGAATGTAAACGAAATTCGAAACAGAAACTTAAACAGAAATCAAAAAATTACGATGGAAAATAAACCTATCCAAAAAACAAATAAATCGAAAGAATGGAATCGAAATTCAAAACAGAAACTTAAACAGAAATCAAAATATTACGATGAAAAATAAATCTATATGAAAAACAAATAAATCGAAAGAATAGAATTGAAATTCAAAACAGAAACTTAAACAGAAATCAAAAAATTACGATGGAAAATAAACCTATATGAAAAACAAATAAATCGATAAAATGGAAACTGAATATAAAATGAGATATACCTACCTAGTTTAAAAATTTAATTTAAAAGTCGAAAACAGAAAAGTAAACGAATTTGAAAAAAAGTGAATATTTAATTAAATCAAAATTTACTAAAAAAAAAAACGCAAATAATTAACCCTTAAGTGAAAATTAAATTTAAAAAATTTTTAATTTACCCGAATTTTATAAAAATTTAATAGAAACTGATTTTACAAAAGCTGGTCAAATTTAGCAAACAACACGAAAACGATTTAAACAATAAATAAAATTGTAAATAATGAAAATAAAAATATGTATAAAAAAAATACAATAAATTAAAAATCACTTACCCTTTGAACTCCACACCATTCAATAGCACGACCAAACCTAAATAAAAAAATAAATAAATCGATAGAATGGAATTCAATTTGAATTTTCCGGAAAAAGAAAGTCGACAAAAAAAATTCGGAAAAAAAAATAAAAAAAATCCGGAAAAAAAAAATCTAGGAAGTAGAAATCGAAAAAAAAAACAAAAAAAAAGACAAAAAAAAAGAGAAAAACAAAAAAATCTAGAAAAAAGTCGAGAAAATAGAAATCAGAAAAAAAGTCGAGAAAATAGAAGGCAGAAAAAAAGTCGAAGAAAAAAACAAAAAAATCTAAAAAAAAAAATTGGAAAAAAAAATCAATAAAATGGAATTTAATTTGAATTAACGGGAAAAAGAAAGTCAAAAATAAAAAACACTTTGAAAAAAAAAAAAAAAATCTATGAAAAAAAAAGAAAAAAAAAGTCAATACAATTGACCTTTTTTAATTACCAATCAAGAAAAACATTAACACAAAAAAAAAAGTCGAAAAAATACAAGTTCGAAAAAAATAGTCAAAGGAAAAGTCGAAAATTAAAAAAAAAGACTTAGAAAAAAAAATTGAGAGAAAAAAATCGACAAAAAAAAGTCAATGCAATTGACCTTTTTTGATTACCAATCAACAAAAACATTAACACAAAAGAAAGCCAAAAAAAATTTAGGAAAAAAATCAAATAAAATAAGTTTAAAAAAATTTAAAAATATCCAGAAAAAAAGACATAAAAGAAGATTAAAAAAAAAAATTGAGAAAAAAAATAAAAGAAAAAGTTAATATAGGTAGTTGACCTTTTTTGATTTCCAATCACCAAAAACATTAGCACAAAAAAAAGCAGAAAAAAATCTAGAAAAACAGTAGAAAAAATATAAGTCAGAAAAAAAATAGTTAAAAAAAAAGTCGAAAATATCCAGAAAAAAAAACTTAGAAAAAAGCAAAAAAAAAAATCTAGAAAACAAAGTGGATAAAAAAAAATAAAAATTAAAGTCAATACAATTAACCTTTAGTGATTACTAACGAACAAAAACTTTGGCACTTATTGCCATGGAAGACAAGCGACGAAATAAACCTTGCCAATTGATTGCAAATTAAAAACACCAGAAATGGCGGGAAAATAAGCAATTTGTTAAAAAAAAATCAAAAAAAAAAATTTGGAAAAAAAATGGGAAAAAAACTTGAGAAAAAAAATCGAAAAAAAAAAATCAATATAATTAACCTTTATTGATTAGGTACCAATCAACAAAAACTTAAGTATACTTATTGCCATGGAAGACAAGCGACGAAATAAACCTTGCCAATTGATTGCAAATTAAAAACACCAGAAATGGCGGGAAAATAAGCAATTTGTTAAAAAAAAAACGAAAAAAAAAAATTTGGAAAGAAAATGGAAAAAAAAAATGAGAAAAAAAATCAATACAATTAACCTTTAAGTACTACTTATTGATTAGATACCAATCAACAAAAACTTAAGCACTTATTGTCATGAAAGACAAGCGACGAAATAAACCTTGCCAATTGATTGCAAATTAAAAACACCAGAAATGGCGGGAAAATAAGCAATTTGTTAAAAAAAAAAGCGAAAAAAAAATTTGGAAAGAAAATGGAAAAAAAAATTGAGAAAAAAAATCGAAAAAAAAAATCAATATAATTAACCTTTATTGATTAGGTACCAATCAACAAAAACTTAAGCACTTATTGCCATGGAAGACAAGCGACGAAATAAACCTTGCCAATTGATTGCAAATTGAAAACACCAGAAATGGCGGGAAAATAAGCAATTTGTTAAAAAAAAAGCGAAAAAAAAAAATTTGGAAAAAAAAAGAAAAAAAAAAATTGGGAAAAAAAAATCGAAAAAAAAATCAATACAATTAACCTTTATTGATTACCATTCAAAAAAAAATTCAACACTTATTGCCATGAAAGACAAGCGACGAAATAAATCTTGCCGATTGATTGTAAATTGGAAGCATCTGAAATGGCGGGAAAATAACCAATTTGTTTTGGCGCGTCACACGGCGACTGTCCTGAATCGACAATAGCTTATTTTGCGCTCTTAATACATAAATAACTATTAATTTGCCCCAATTTTATGAAAATTCAGGCAAAAACCAAATCGCCAGTAAATGAAACTGATTTTACAAAAACTGGTCAAGCAAACAAATGATACGAAAACATTTTAAGCAATAAATCAAAAATCACTCACCCTGTAAACTCCACTGCAATGCAAAAACAATTCACTATATCCAGAATATACTACCAAACCGGACACTCCCGACTATACGAATTGCACGACGAACACCAAAATTAAAAATTTGGCGAAAACACAACTTTTATCCGTTAACACTTGATATCTCAAGTAAGAACCAAGTCAGACAAGGCGCCAAGCTGTCTGGGCAGCTTATATACGCGTCTATTGGAAGATCCTACTCGCTGATTGGTCCAAATCGTGAAAACCAATCCAACCAATCGTGAGTCGGCATGCTTTAACAAAACTATTGGAAATTTTCTACTTTGCAATCATTTTATAAACGACATCGCAGAGTTCGTATCAATTCGATTTATTCATTCATTCATTTGTTTTTATTCTACCTAGTTGATTTTTAGTTTATTTATGCTAAAATTCGAATTTAAATAAGAAAAAAACACTTTCATAAGAGTATTTTTCCTGAAATCCTTGCTAATCATGAAAATAATTCAAACCTGAATCCTCAAATACTAAATCTAGTCTACAAACAAACAATCTAATTTAGAAAAAGAAGAATTACCCTTGACAAAAAACGTCACAAATATTTCAACAAACTGCGTTTGTCTCACATCGATTCGATTTTCCTTTTTTACATATTAGTAGTTCTGAAAAGAACCGTTTTTTTTTTCCCCAATTCCAATGCACGTTGTTGTTTTCTTAATTTCCCATAAAGTCAGTTATCCAATCTTCTAAAAATCCTCCAATTCCCTTAATTAGTTTCTTCTCTTCCGACAAGGAAATGTGAAATAAAAACTTATGGGTTTTTTTCCAGGAAGAACTAAATTGTTTTGTAACCATCGAATGATTTAGTTTTTAGAATGATGCAGTTTAACGTCTTCATTCATGTATGTTGTTGAGCCAAATCCGACTGTAATCCGTTAACGCACTCGATATCTCGAGTAAAAACCAAGTCAGACAGATAGGCGCCAGGCTGTCTGGGCAGTTTATATACGCGTCTATTGGAAAATCCTACTCGCTGATTGGTCAAAATCGTGAAAACCAATCATAAGTCAACACGATTCAACAAAACCGATGTAAATTGTCTAGTTTGCAATCATTTTATAAACGACATCGCAGAGTTCATTTCGAGACAACAATGACACTGTATTGCCAAAATCATAATTCTCCTTTTTCAAAGCGATTTAATTTAAAAAAAATGTGAAAAAAAGACTTTTTAC